TTTTTTTCATGGTGAGATAGAAAAAAAAATTTTACATGTAATTTTTGACAAAAATCTAAGGAACAAACTTTTTTTTTTTTTTTTTAAATCTTTATTTTAGAGATTTTTAGCCTGAGGCTAGTTCATCTCTTAAAGGAACAAACTGATTTGCTTTGATTTTTGATATTTTTTCCCAATATTTTTAAAGAAATAAAAATGTACCGAAAATATTTTTTTTATTTTCGGGCTGGTAAGCTTCCCCTTAATTGATGGATCAAATAACAAATCAGCGCTTGATAAAGTTTTCAAATACATTGAATATGGGGCCCCTCATGAAAAAAATAAATTGCAAAAATTAGCGATCGCAAAAGAAGACTTCTTATTTCAACTAATTGATATAAATTCATTTAAAGAAGTAGGAAATAACATTCTAAGGAATGTTCAAATTATATTATATCATAAACCAAAATATATAGTTGATCCATTGGAAATCAACAACATTTTAAATCTTTATCATAATATCCCAACAGGCGGACACTTAGGTGTTAATCGCTTATACAAAAAAAATAAAATCACTCTATAGTTGGCCTAACATGAAAAAATCAATAATTGAATTCGTAAAAGCATGTACTTTATGTAAAATTAACAAACATTATCCAACTGTGAAAACAAAAGCTGTAGTAACAACCACACCCATCCAACCATTTGATGTCGTTTCTATCGATACCGTTGGACCCTTCTCCTTAACAGAACACGGGAACCGCTACGCTGTTTCCATGCAATGTGAATTTTCTAAATTTATAATTATGGTACCTATTCCAGATAAATCTGCCAGCACTATCGCACATGCAGTTCTAGAAAACTGTATTTTAAAATTTGGACCTATGAGGTTTATCAAAACCGATCAAGGTACAGAATATAAAGGTGTGTTTAATGAGATGTGTAACTTATTAAACGTAAACCGCACATGTGCTACTGCCTATCATCCCCAGACAATTGGCGCATTAGAAAGAAACCATAGATGCCTTAACGAGTATCTACGTATTTTTACTAATGACATACGCAATAATTGGGATGAATGGATGCCATTTTACTCTTTTCCTTATAATACAACACCCAACCTAGAGCACAATTATACACCGTTCGAATTAGTATTCGGTAGACCAATAAATAGATTCGAAATTACCAAAAACAGTCCACAAATTGATCCTTTATACAATCATGCTTCATACATAAAAGAATTGAAATATCGAATGCAAGTAGCTCATTATATAGTATCAGACGTAATTAATAAAAGCAAACACAAGCGAACAAGAGATATCAATCAAAATATTATTCCAACACCATTAAATGTAGGCGATACAGTGTACTTAAAACAAGAAAATAGAAATAAATTAGACCCAACATTTTCTGGACCATATACAATAGAAAATCTGGATGATTCTAATGCTTGTATAATTAATGAAAAAAATGACAGATTCAAAGTCCATAAATCCAGACTGTTAAAAATTTAAATACATAAGAAACAAAAATGTAGACATATTATTTACAACGGTAAGGAAAATGCGTATACGGTTTATACTTACTATATTGCGTTATTTTTCCAAAAAAGGAGGAGGTGTAGTAGACATCCCCAAATCTTGATACAGTACACGAATTTACTACATCAGCAGAAACGTGTCTTACCAGCATACCACTTCATCAGAATTACAGTTCGACTTGTTAATCCGTAATATGACCGATTCACACGGTAAATACAGCACATACTTAAGCTAGGCTGCAAGGCTCTAATTTGCAAACGCAGCATAAGCTGTATATGAACTTTCCTTGTCTTTATAAAACATTCACTCATTTACACTAGCGGACTCCAAACCTAAAACCTAATAATAAACACCCTGAGTTGAATCGTCAAAGCTTTCGGTAGTTTTATCCGAAAGTCCGAACGTATCATGGTCCTCAGGTCCAAACGTATCAAAAGTTTGACAGATAAAATGAGGGGTTATTGGATTTTCCTATGTTTCGAGGGGTGAATCGATTAGCTTGGGACTGAAGATAGTACCAGAGCTGAACCAAAAAGTTGAGCACGTTTCTTCGGGACCTACTAGTCTTAGAGTTACCTCTATGATATAATCGTAAAGTCGAAAATGAAGTTAAATCATGTCCTGAGAACTTTTTCAATTATGTAAAAACAGAATAGAAAAGTAATATTTTTCCGTTACAAACGCATTTTGATGGAAATGTAGGTGAAAATCCTCCTGACATCTGCAATCTCGTTGCAAATTTCTTTCAGGAAGTATACATAACATTTTCTGAAAAGACCGCGACCGCGACTTCTTTGCATTCATTCCCGAAGTCTCTAACTACATATCTGTCAATCAAATATGTCAACATAAAGTCCTCAATGAACTAAAAAGATTGGACGCATCTTAAGGACCAGGACCTGACGGAATTACTCCTGTATTCTCGAAGAATCTTTCGGAACAACTCACCCTTCCTTTAGAACGCCTTTTCAATATGTCTCTGAAAATGGGAAATTCCTTGAAATTTGGAAATCGTCTCATTTGGTGCCTATTTTCAAATCAGGCAAGAAATCTGACATCCGTAATTATCGTGAAATTGCCATTATCTCTTGCATCCCAAAATGTTTTGAATCAATCGTAAACGACAAAAAATTTCAGCAAGTAAAAAATCAAATTACAAACAAACAGCACGGCTTTTTTAAAGGTCGTTCAGTTACCTCTAATCTTCTTGAATATGTAACCTTAATTATTAACGCAATGGACAATGTCAAGCACGTGGAAGCTCTCTATACTGACTAGTAAAGCATTTGACCGAATCGACATAGGGTAGAGCGCTACTTCGTCGTAATAGCCCATTTCCGTTCTATCGATCAGAAAAGATCAATAATATCAATGATTTCACCGTGCACAAATCAATAATAGGTTTGTTCCGATGCGTTAGTTCATTGGCTACAACATAAATCCTATTAGAGCGCATTGTATGAATATTTACGCTCATTGTTCTCTAAACAAAAGAAGTGCTCCTAGCGAATCCCCTTTTTCTACGTTTATCCGTACGACGAAGAAAATCTACTGGCGTTTCAATGCGTTTGAACGGAATTGAAACTCGTAGGACGAATTTAGAATCAAGAAGCAGTGTTAGATTTTAAACAATATCTCAACAATGTGTGACTCTTTATCAAATCGTATGGTACGTATAGAAAGGTGAATAAATTTAGAAGTCATCTTCGACAGAAATATTCAATCTTTTGTTCAAATCCGTTAAAAAAGGGAGGTAAAACGCGGGTTGTACTTAGTAGGTCGGAAATTAGATCAAAAACCTTATGTTAGTAAAACATTGTAATCATTGTATATAATATACTTTTTCTTGACGAAATAAATAAATAAATAAATAAAAAAGTTATTTGCTTTTATCGGAGCGTATGCAAAAAAGTTTACCTCTCAAATAAATTACTCAACAAATAAAAAAACAATCTAGATTAAAATCAATACGCTACACTTAATAGTTTCATCGTAAATGGCCATGTCTCACTTTTTTTAATGTCGTCCCACTGTGAGTAGTGAGGAACAGTGCTAAATAGTAGATCAGTAGAATTCATGTGCACCAACCTCAAATACATCAGGGCAAATGAATTTATCATCACTCACAGCAGATAACGACGAATGTAGCCCGAACATGCAGAAGTAGCATCATCAATTAAAATGCATCTACTAATCATTCGTGTACATTTCCAATTATACATGCATATTCGATTTACTCTCTCCATTTCGGGTATTTCTCAAAACCAAAATGAATTTATTATTGAGTTGCGCTTAGCAGCGGTGTTCCTTTCAGTTCGGTTGTTTCCCGATGCCGGTTCCAACTGTATCTGAGCATCATTCAAACTTTGATCGCATAGCAAGATTAACCTGTTTACAACCAAGGCCAACTCGGACAGGATTCTTTGCATGGACACACACAAATTGCGTCGGTTAGTTTGTTAATTAACAGTTAACGATTAAGAAACTATAATAAAGATTCGAAAAATCTTTTCTGATAACCAAAAAACGCTAGGCAAGAGCGATTTTAAGAGTGGAATGAATTGTGAAGACCACTCTACCAATAGTGGTTGACCTTCAAAACACACGGCAAACAGTAAGAGAGGCTATACCACAATTGATCAAAATACTGGTCGCAGTGGAACTTCTTCTTCTTCGCACTTCAAGCTTATTGCTTATCGCATATTAGCTTATTGCGTGCTCTCAACTTATAGCGAATTTGTTTATTATCGGAACCAGTCCCAGTGTGAAACCGAACTTTTTGTCAGTGTGAACCTCAACCTGAGGTAGGTTTTTAAAACAAACGATCATATTGACGTTTGTCAGAAAACAAACAGAACCGATCTTGATACCCGACCCAGGTTAGAACTGAATTATAAACAAAATCGTTATTAGTGCTGATCTAGATGCACTTCTTAAGTTATTAAATGGGAGTTTTAATAACTGTGTGGCTAGTACAATCATACTCTATGCCCAGGGAAGTCGAGAAATTTTCCAACCCGGAAAATTCCTAGACCGGACCGGGAATCGAACCCAGCCACCTGCAGCATGGTCTTGCTTTGTGCTGCGCATTTACCGACTGAGCTAAGGGTTCTCCGTCGCTGTGGTTATTGTCCCCGAAAAGAAGCAAAAAATGAGTGGGAGCGGTAATAAAATTGCGCGTGTACACGGCCGATTATATCAACTCAAATTCGCAAAAACGGAGGTTACTCATAAACTGAGTAAAATTTTCGTCGATTTTCCTCAAAAGGTTTTATATGAGTTTTTGCGATTTTGAGTGAATAACCACTTAATTTTAAGTAGATCTCATCAGGCAATCGTTTTGGTGTCTCATTCCTTGATGGTTCATATATAATGAATCAGTGCGCAGAAGACATCAAGTCGATACACTTTTGAGGAGTCCAGTTTAAGTTGCAAATTACAATATATAAAGCTCAGATTTTGTCGTGTACAAGCTTTTTAACACTGAACCACTGCTAGTCAGATATGCAGTGCCCCGTCGGGATTAGTTTGCAAACGGATTGCCTTCGAGTAACAACCAATCATCGATCTCGGCTGCAGTGATCCGTGCTTTGGTTATCGCGGGTTCGTGAATTGATGGTATTAATTATGACGGATACAAGCAGATTCAAATACTTTTGCCTATTGATTGTTGTGTTTTGCAGCTCTGGTAAGTAACTAGAGCTTTTAAGTTACAATGTATGATAGATTTTTGTTTTGCTTTTCTACACTGTTTTTTCATCACATAACGATTAACATCCTTCATATTCTTAAATAATGACTACAACATTCAAATTAAATCGCAACTTTATTGGCCAATAAAATAACAAACACATCAATCGCAACGAAGCACGTTACAAACTGTTATTCCAAAGCCAGAATGATAATAACTGGGGAAACACAAGTCAAACGCATTTGCTATGCATTAGCCTTCAGCAATCTATTAAGTTAACACATTTCAAAGAATAATATTATACAATCACTTCAAAATTCTCATCCATATTCTAGGCTACTGTAAGCTCTACCCAATTAGCCCATTTCGAGATGAATTACAAACGTCGATGTTTCCGAACGAGCGACTTTCGCTGGACGGTAAGTTCATAAAGTCATGCCGCAAATACATATATACTCTTGCGCCAGTAAACCATGAAACATTTGCATTATCACACCACCAGATTGTCACTTGCGCTACTACAAATACGGCAAGCAAGGCCTGGTAGCTCCGGCCTTCGGGGAGCCGGCATATTTGAAGGAGTTTGCCCACATGGCCGCCATAGGATGGACCCTACCGAACGGCACCATCAGCTGGAAGTGTGGTGGTTCGCTGGTTTGGGATAATTACGTTCTCACCGCGGCGCACTGTGTCACAGATAAGTAGGGACCTCGAATTGTTCGCATTCCATAGCATTGAATAACACCCGCCGTATTCAATTCTAGTGGTAACGCTCCCGATGTGGCACGGTTCGGTGATATCAACATTTTCAGCGACGAGGATGATCAGTATGCTCAGCAACTGCGGATTGTGGACATTTTCCGACACCCGGAGCACAGGTTTTCCGCTACGTACAACGATATTGCACTGCTGAAGCTGGAAGCCAATGTGACGTGAGTGTGTACCGCCGTGGAAAGCTATAATGATTAAAATAATGTCACCATTTTCGGCTCTCTTCCACTACAGACTTCATCCCACGGTGGCCCCAGCATGCCTTTGGAAAGACGACGACGTTCGATTCCCTACCATGGAGGCGACTGGATGGGGAGACACTGGATTTGGTACTGGAAATCAATCTCCCAATCATTGCAGTTATAGTAAAACCATTGTCAATCCTCCATTTCAGTCCAGGAAAGAACCCCCTCGTTGTTGAAAGTGACACTGAAACCGATCAGCAATTCCGAGTGCAACAGAACATATGGCTTGGTAAACCGAAGACTACGCGAAGGCATCAAAGATCATCAGATATGCGCGGGAGACGAAAAGATGGATACCTGTCCAGTAATTGCCTCTATAGTTTTGCGAAAAATTCGATATTTTAAACACAGCTACTTTCAGGGAGATTCCGGTGGTCCTCTTCAAGTCAGGTTGCTTCACAATGCCAAAATGTCACCATTTTTGGTCGGCATAACTTCTTTCGGGACGGCTTGTGGAACGTCCACTCCTGGTGTGTACACGCGAGTTTCATCGTTTTACAGCTGGATCGAACAGACCATTCGCAGCCAGGAGAGCAACGTGTTTGGTAACTAGACTGACCATTGATGATGGGCATTGGGGTAAAATAAATAACTATCATTTTCGCCAGACTGGAGTTTGGATCCGATCACCTGCGCACTCCGGTATGTCCACCTGAGGGAGTATGAAGATGATATTATCGTTAGTAAGTCGAAAGATTACATATCACTTGATTCTACGAAAACACATATGACCTTCAACTCAGGAGAGCTCAACCATGTGGTACGTTATGTCAAAAAAAATATTGCTGCAAGTATTTTCAGTAAATTTGAAATAATGTTGGTAGGTTAAAATCGGTTGGAATAATCGGAGAATTCAACGGGATAACTGCAGTGGAACTCTGATCGCGGACGATACCGTTCTAACATTGGCTGAATGCACCTCGCATACCGGGTATGAGCTTAGGCATAGTTCCTTCTACAAATCAATCGTGTGATCATGTCCACATTCTAGAATTTCTGCAAATTACGTTGATTTGAACAATAACGAACGTATAGAGATTGCTGAAACCATCGTTCATCCAGCGTACCGAGAGCAGTCACTGTATAACAATATTGCTGTTCTAAAGCTAAAAAATAGAGTCAAGTTGTCCTCCGCTCTTACTCCGGCATGCATATGGCATTCACAGAGCATTCCTGACCCGCAGCTACAGGTCGCCGGGATTGGTCGTAGCGACATCAATTATATGAACAGCGGTGCAAAATTTGACTTAGTTTTCGGTTAGTACATAACATTAATGCATATTTCAATGATGACCAATATTTCAATACCCTCACCACCGCAGAACCCACAGAAAGGCTTCTACTACCGCGGGCCAGTGTCAACTCGGACCTAAACTGTACGATCCCGGTTGAATTCCAATCACGCCTTACACGTGGCATAGCCAACGAGCACCTCTGCGTTGGCAATCCACTGTTCTTAGTTCCCGGATCATGCCGCCTGGTCTACGGAGCTCCGATGCAACTGCCCATGTGGCGTAATGATCGTTTCTACACCTATGCCTACGGCTTGAACTCATTCGGACGAGATTGTGGTTTTGGCGAAGCTGCCGTATCGACAAGGCTGTTCTCCCACGTGGACTGGCTGAAAACGATTCTGCTTCCAAACTTCCGTGGAGACAGTGCGCTGCAATTCGTCAACCCCGATTGGAAGGAAAATGATTCCTGTGACAACGAGTATGATGAAGATTCACCTGGGATCTGTACGCACCACACAAAATGCCCCAAAGTTTGGGAAGACTTCAAAGCAAAAAGGATCGTACATTTCTGTTCATCGGCAAATGTTGTGTGCTGTCCAACTCAATTTATACAGAAAGAACGTCTGCAGGATGAGCTGGACACCTGTAGTACCCAATACGCTAGACTTCATCCACGGTATAACCGTGTCTACAAAAAATCAGCAGCTCCGGCGGCGCATATGGTAACGCTAACTGGAACATCGTCTTCTTGCTTGGGATCTCTCATCACAAAGCGGACTGTAGTTACAGCGGCCAGCTGCGTTAGATCGGACAACCCTAGGCAAGCATTACTGGCAGATGGTAGCAGTGTATCCGTTCAGAAAACTACCGTTCATCAAAAGTACGACGGAACCCGACCGGTGAATGATATCGCGCTGGTGGAATTGAATCGCCCCATTACGCCTAATGCTGCAGTTGTTCCAACGTGTGTTTGGGCGAATCTTACGCACACGCCTTTTCATTTGCGACTTTATCAAGGTAAGATTATTCCTTGTACAGTACACTCATAAAATAAATCACATAACCAGTGGAAAATATCCATGTGAATTTCACATAACTTTCACGTGATCCAATAATTGCTAATTACACCACTTAATCACATGAACGTTATGTGTCCAATGAAATCGATATGATTTCTCATATAGAATTTCTTATGCTATGTGATATTCAGATAACAATCATTATTTTTGTTATTGGAAAAATATTATGTGCGTTCCTAATAGAAATTAAGTGAAACCTTTTTTCAGTGTAGGGTAGTTCAAAACCAAGGTTTTTTTTTTTTTTTTTTAATAATTTGTTTATTTTTCCAGGCTCATTTGCTGTAGCTTTGCGGAGCCGATATTCATTGTTTAGATAACAAAATTACTTAAAACTAACGTTAGTAAAGCGGGGGCCGATTACTCGCGGCTATCTCGAGGTTAGGGGTAACAAATTGTAACAAATGGATGGCTGGGTAGGGATTGTGAACACAAGGTTTGGAGAGCAATGTGCTCTTGATCTCGAACTAGGCGACACTCTGATGAAAAAGACAAACATGGGGGTACACCGATGGGTAGCTAACAACTTGGGAGAACACAAGATGACACTAACTTCTAAATCCTCAAATCTATCCGTTTTAAAAACACATAAATTAAATTCAAATAGTCAAGGTCTCGGCTCGCCAAGACATCTCTAACGGGTATCGCGGGTTGTTTTCCTCGGGCCCTGAGGGATGTGGATAACTCAGATCTGGCAACACGGTGTAAGGTACACGACCAAACAACATGCTCGATATCGTGATAACCACTGCCACACGCACATAAATTGCTGCCTGAGAGCCCAATTCGATAGAAGTGCGAGTCTAACGAGCAGTGATTGGACATAAGCCTTGATATGACGCGTATAAAGTCGCGGCTCATGTCCAACCCTTTGAACCATGGTTTGTTCGACACCTGTGGGAGAATAGAATGTAACCATCTTCCCAATTCACCATCATTCCATTTTTGTTGCCAACTGATGAGGACTTGCTGGCGAGCAATGGAGAAAAATTCGTTGAAGGCGATTTGTCGCTCAAAAATATCGCCTTCCATAGCGCCCACCTTAGCCAATGAGTCCGCTTTCTCATTACCCGGAATTGAGCAATGAGATGGGACCCAAGCTAAGGTGATAGTATAGGAGCAGTTAGATAAAGCACTCAGTTTAGATCGTATTTCAGGCAGGAAATACGAGGAGTGCTTCATCGGCCTCATTGAACGAATAGCCTCCAATGAGCTAAGACTATCCGTAAAAATGAAATAATGGTCAGAAGGTAGTGAGGCAATTCGCTCTACTGCGTAAAATATAGCTGCGAGTTCCGCAACGTATACGGAGCATGGTTTCTGCAGTTTATAGGAGGCGCTATGAAATTGATTAAATACACCAAATCCAGTGGAAGCATTTATGGTTGACCCATCTGTGAAAAATCTTTTATCGTTACTTACATGGTGGTACTTGATTGCAAAAATTGAGGGAACAACCATCGACCGATGGTGATCTGGTATTCCATGGATTTCTTGCATCATGGTCAGATCAAAATTTACAGAGGAACTATAGAAGGCTTGGAAGCAATCACGATTGGAGATTAATGAAGAAGGACCAACCTCCAGCGTCATGTACTCATAGTACAAACTCATGAATCTTGTTTGAGGATTTTGGTCGAGCAGCTTCTCAAAGTGTTCTATTACCAAAGGATTCAATACTTCACAACGGATGAGGAACCGGAAAGACAGCTCAGCGAAACGATCTGTCAGTGGGAGAACACCCGCGAGTACTTCGAGGCTCATCGTATGCGTCGAGTGCATACAGCCAAGCGCGATTCGGAGGCAACGGTATTGAACTCGTTGCAGCTTCAAGATATGTGTTTTCGCCGCGGATTGAAAGCAGAAGCTACCGTACTCTAGAACCGACAAGATGGTTGTTCGATACAACCTGATAAGATCTTCCGGGTGTGCTCCCCACCAAGTTCCGGTAATTGTACGAAGAAAATTGATTCTTTGTTGGCATTTTTGTTTTAGATACGCAATATGTTTTCCCCATGTGCATTTGGAATCGAACCAGACACCTAAATACTTGAAAGATATACTTTGAGTGATTGTTCTACCCTTTAGTTGAAGCTGTAACTGTGCAGGATGATGCTTCCTAGAAAAAACAACCAACTCAGTTTTCTCCGGAGAGAATTCGATACCCAGCTTCATAGCCCAAGTAGACAAATTGTCTAAGGTATCTTGCAATGGACCTTGCAGGTCCGGTGCACTTGGCCCTATAACGGACACAACGCCGTCATCTGCAAGCTGCCTTAGCGAGCAATTTTCATCAAGACAACCATCAATGTCTTTAACGTAAAAATTATAAAGAAGGGGGCTTAAACATGAGCCCTGGGGGAGACCCATGTAACTAATTCGTGAAGTTGTCGAGTTTCCATGAGAAAAGCTCATATATTTCTCAGACAACAAGTTGCTCAAATAGTTGTTCATAATTGGTGAAAGCCCACTATCGTGGAGTTTATCCGAAAGGACATCGATACAAACAGAATCAAAAGCCCCCTTAATGTCCAAGTAAACTGAACCCATTTGCTGTTTTTGCGCATAGGCCAGTTGAATTTCAGTTGAAAGCAACGCAAGACAGTCGCTCGTTCCTTTGCCTCTCCGAAATCCAAATTGCGTATCTGAAAGTAAACCATTCGACTCGACCCATTTGTCTAGACGAAAAAGAATCATTTTCTCCAACAATTTCCGTATACAGGACAGCATCGCGATGGGACGGTACGAGTTATAATCCGACGCGGGTTTACCGGGTTTTCGAATGGCGATAACTCTTACTTGCCTCCAATCATCCGGAACAATGTTGTGCTCCAGAAATTGATTGAATAAGTTCAACAAGCGTCTCTTCGCGACGTCTGGGAGATTTTTGAGCAAGTTGAACTTGATTCTATCCATTCCTGGAGCTGAGTTGTTACATGAGAGGAGAGCAAGTGAGAATTCCACCATCGAAAACGGAGAATCTATTTCGTTACTACCCGACGGACTATCACGAACGTTGGTTTGAACCGACACCGAATCCGGGCAAACTTTCTGCGCGAAGCTGAATATCCAACTGTCTGAGTACTCCTTGTCTTCGTTGACCGGTGATGACGCGTTGCGCATTCTCCTGCCGACATTCCAGAGTGTTCTCATCGAAGTCTCTCTCGACAAACCATCGACGAACCGACGCCAGTAACCGCGTTTTTTGGCTTTAATCAAGCTCTTAAAAGTTTTCTCGAGGTCGGTGTACCGCTCGAAATCCTCGACCTTACCGTGTTTGCGGAAGCGTTTAAACGCGGCGGACTTCTCGCTGTTCGCGTCGGTGCAATCCTTATCCCACCACGGAGTGAGAGGTCGTTTGCGAACGAAAACACCCGGAACGCGTTTCGTCTGTGCTTGAAGAGCGCAGTCAACGATAAGTCGCGATAAAAAGGAGTACTCATCCAGCGGAGGGAGTATGTCAACCGAATCAGTACCACCGAGAACCGCGGACGCAAATTTTTGCCAGTCGATGTTTTTCGTGAGGTCGTACGCGATGTCAACCGAGCGAGTGGAAGATGAACCATTGGTAATAGAAATTTTGATTGGCAAGTGGTCACTACCGTAGGGATCTTGAATTACTTTCCACGAGCAATCCAACGATAGTGAACTCGAACTGAGGGAGAGGTCTAATCTACTTTCTCTTGCTGGAGGTTTGGCCACTCGTGTTACTTCCCCAGTGTTTAGAATTGTCATATTGAAGTTATCGCAAAGGTCGTATATCAGGGTTGAGCGGTTGTCATCGTACAGTTCCCCCCAGCCTGTACCGTGGGAGTTAAAATCTCCTAATATCAACCGAGGCTCAGATAAAGCTGAGCAGATATCTGAGAGACCTTGGCGAGAAATCGCAGTTCTTGGAGGAAGATATACTGAGGCAATACTGAGGCTTTTACCTCGAATATTTACCTGACATGCGACAACTTCAATGCCTGTCACGGAAGGCAGATCGATTCTATGAAAGGAATGGAGCTTATGAATCCCGAGAAGCACCCCTCCATACGAATCTGCTCGATCAAGGCGAATAATGTTAAAATCGTGGAAAGGGAGATCGGTGTCTGAAGAAAGCCATGTTTCACAAAGAGCAAATGCATCACAAAGTGAGTTGTGAACTAAAAATTTGAATGTGTCAAGTTTCGGTATAAGACTTCTACAGTTCCACTGAAGAACAGAGATCATATCCCCGACCTCATTCGGAAAATTATCCATCAAAGGATATGATCGATGCAAGGAAGGACCACCTAGAAGCTAGTTGCTTCAAAAGAGTTTTCACGAATGGAAGCACTAAATTAATAATGTTCCGAGTTGAGTCAGAGACGTTGAATATATTGAAGATGCTCTCCACAATTTCAGAAAACGTGAACATGGCATCATGTTCTTGCTGATTATTCAGCTGTTTTTCTGGCTGAAAAACTGGGATATCTGGGGTTTTAGATGATCCCGGAAGTGGCGGAAAGTCCTTGTTAAAATTACAAGATTTAAATCCCGGTGGTGGGGGTTTCGGTACATTTCCGCTACCTCTTAAATTTGTCAAGGTAGGTTGGTAGTCCATACGAGAGGCCTTACGAGGTTTTTGGGTGACGTTTATTTTGGACCGCTTCCTCGTGTTGCCATTAAAGACAAAAGGACTACTCTCACCCACCTCTGAGTCAGAGCCCTGATCATCATCTGGCAGGAGGTGGAATGTGTTGTTGCTTTTTGGGGTGGTTTGGGAAGATGAAGCGGTCGTTTTTAAAATTTCTGCTAACGAGCGCTTAGAGCGAGCTTGCAAAGACCGCTTTAGTTTTTCTCCCTGCTGTTTGTACTTCGGGCAATCACTCAGAGCATGCGGAGCATCCTTACAGTAAACGCATTTTGGGCTAGCATGACAAGGGCCCTCCGTATGCTCCTCCCCACATTGATCGCACCGCGGTTTGTTGGAACAAAAGTCCGCGGTGTGACCTAGTTGTTTGCATTTCAAGCAATTCATTACCCTCGGTACAAACAAGCGTACAGGTAGTCGAACCTTCCCAATTGTGACGTAGTCAGGTAATGCCGATCCTGAAAAGGTCACACGAAACGAATCTGAGAGGGTATACTTTTTTTTTGTGCCTATGTGCGACACTGACTGCAGTTGAATGCAGTCCAGTATCTTGACTTTCGGGAGGGCACGGTTTTTGAAAATGCCGAAAGATTCGACTTGCAGGAAATCCTCACAAGTCAGACTCGATTCGGTGACCACTCCTTCAATTTCTACGTCACAACTGGGGACGTAGACTCGATATTCGATCGAAAAAAGCTCACAGGCAACAATCCGGTTTGCCTGTTTCAGGTCATCAACGGTAACGCGCAGTTTGTTTGACGTTACCTTAAAGATATCGGTTACGGCCGAAAAATGTTTTGTCAGATCCTTCGAAATCCGAGAAATATTCAAAGGTTTTTGTTTGGGCCGGAAAAAAACAACCCACGGACCTTTTGAGTCGCTTGGGTAAGCTTTATGGCGGGGGGTCGCAGAAATTTTTAAGGGAACGGTTGGAGTAGGGGGAACAGGTGGACGAGGGGGCGATGGTGGAGAAGGGGGGGCAGGGGGTGAAGGAGGTTGTTGTTTAGACATCACCTTTGGGTAAGCTCCAGTGCTCGTTTTGGGGTCCGAAGTAGAATCCCCTGAGGTATCCATTTCCTCTTCAGTGAGAAGCAGATTTTCGAATGATGGAGATTTAACAGACTCATCATCGGAGATATCTGCTAGCGAAATACCCCCGCCATCATTGGTTTCATCCATTGCGGGGTCTTAAGTACCTCCGCAACAGATTTCGACATAAAAAAGGAAATATATATATATATATATTTATATATATATATATATATGCGTTGAGAAAAAAAAATAATAAATAAAAAAAAAATAAGAAAAAAAATAAACTTATCCAAAAAATATAACGGTAAAAATAATACTTAATCCAACAAAGCAAAAAAAAAAAAAAAAAAACTTTAAAATGGAAAAAATAATGCCAGGAAAGTTAATCAACACTATAGGGGGATTAATCAACTTGCAAAAAAAAAAAAAAACAGTAAATGAAAAAAAAGAGAAAAAAAAAAATGAAAATTTTTTCAGGAAAAAACAAAAAGGTGTCAGAAAAGTTAATCAACACTGTATGGAGATTAATCAGGTTGCGGAGAACGGAAGATAACCGTTTGTTACTTAACTCTCCACACAAGCGCACGGAGTGTGGCTGATGACGATGATCTATCCTGATGTGAGAATGATGGTGATGATCGTTCTATTGTTGCCCTCGAGTGTTTGCAACAAAGCACCGGCTGGCTAGCCGGCTGGTGAACTCGATGACCTTGAGTTTGCCGTTTCGTGATGCGATGAAACTTGTTGGTTAGAGATGTACAGCTCATCTGCCGGACTCGGCCGGAAATGACTGCTTCCTTTCTCGAACGATTGAGCGGCAATTACAATTCCGCGATGCTCACTGCACTGTTGTATACTACAACACCACTCAGTATGAAAGCGGATTGAAAAAAAAAAACCTCAATAGGGGAAAAAAACTAGTACCGATTACGGAGTGCAAGCAATACTTGACCGAAACAGTCGAGCGTTCGATGTGGAATGAAAACCAAGGTTGCAAAGACTCATTTCAGCTAAAACAATGTTTTTCTAAATTATGAAATAATTAGATGCCATGATCAAATTTTGAATTGGTAGGATACAAGAAGAGGTTGCAAAGAATGTGTTTGACATATTAAACCAGTTTATTTCACTTCATGAGAGTCACAGTCAGCGATTTTTCACAAACTCACTCACTCACTCACTCACTCACTCAGCGATCAGCAAATTGCTGATTGTGACTCATAGAAAGCAAAATTTACAGGTTTTATGTTTCCAACGCATACTTTGTAACCTCTTCTTGTAAGTTACAAGTAAAACATGCCATCATACCATCTTTTGGTTTTATTATTCCGAAAAACATTATTTTAGCTGAAATGAGTCTTTGCAACCTTGTTCAAAACATCGATTTTGCTCCACGAAGCTGTGATCATTCTCTCACCATTTGAGCTTATTTGGATGAGAGCTCATAGCTCATGGGAATTGATATGTGAAAAGTGAACTTTTTGTTCTCATCATCCTATCCCATTGCCATAACGATTTACGGGAAAGCTTGCTATCGGTTCTTATGTGAAACTTTATCAGCTACAACTTTGCTACCACATTTTTACTAGGCTGCAAGGTAATTAGTTATAAAGTGATTTCAAAGCTTACATCTTTCTGAGATAAATCGACTGCTTTCAGGGCAACACTGTATCATTCACTTATGACATAGAGCTTTTTGCCGTTTAACCGGTGCACACTACTGCACCATAGAGGTAACTCTAAGACTAGAAGGTCCCGAAGAAACGTGCTCAATTTTTTGGCTCAGCTCTGGTACTAACTTCGGTCCCAAGCTAATCGATGCACCCCTCGAAATATAGTAAAATCCACGAACCCCTCATTTTATCTGTTAAACTTTCATAGCGAATCAAAACAAACATTGTGCAGTACTAGAATTTTGAATAGAATAGGTTACGTTAATGGATTTGCTTGGCACCAATAGGCTAGTCAAGTAGTGAGCCAATTTCGAATCGACAGTTTCGTATTGATTGTTGTAGTAAATACATATTTGGCGTTCGATGGCTGTAAATTAAACCCACCGTCTTCGGTTTGATGATACCGTGCCATAAGTGATTAAGCAAGAGAAAGTCTCTTTAATAAAGAAAGAAAAGATAAGATGATAAAGCTATTGAATTCAGGATAATTATAGAGATTATTGATGTTTAACGCACGCACACTAGCGGGTATATCGCCCGACGTTGACGAATCCATTGCATCCATCGAAGATAGGCTGACTAATCTCGGTGCGTTTGATGCTCGATCTTCAAATTCTCGAAAACTGATCTGGCTGGATGGCTTGCTTGGGACACTTTGATCTCACACTCAAAGTTTTTGGTCATCTAATTTTATGTATATATATAGTCTTTGATTTAAACAATTATTGGCCAGACATCTCCACTGACTGTATGCCATACTAAGCAGCTGTACTCTATTTCGTACAATGTGTTGTCGATACAAATAAATGAAAATTTTGTCATTCTTCCAGACAACCCTGATCGGCCACCCCAGATGGTACCGATGTACAACACCGACTGCCAGCGGGACTACAAACGAAAGATCAGCCTCCATGAGCTGTGCGCTGACCAAATCGACCTGGATGCATCCGGCAGCTGTTATACGGTAGGCGATCAACTAATGTGGTTCAATGCCGATGATACTGAGCTGAACGGTAACACTACCATGACACCGCACCTTGTCGGATTCTACAGCTACGGAGAACAATGTTCCAACGGCAATCCAGGGGTTTTCACCAGAATTGCCTCGTTCGTGGAATGGATTCGGGAAAATATGTAATTAACATTTCGTATATAATACGCGATTACTTAATTAGAACGTTGACAGCTTAGGAATAAAATAAAATTATATGTAACTAACGATTGAAAAATCAATTAATAATTGGTAATATCTGGGTCTCAGATAGCACGGTATTGTTATCTTGCAAGCTGTCATTTCAGCATGGATGTGCTAGGTTACGTTGGTCGACGAAGCTCAGTTTGTTCCTTAGGTGAAGGGCAAAGTGACTAAAAACACGGCGGATAACGATGGTAAAATCGGTAAAATCCAATCTTCAATTCTAGACACTGATCAATTTCTAAATTTGAAATGCCCGTAACTGTCGTTGGACTATGATTCAGTTATTTTATCCTTAGCTCAGTCAATTAAGACGTAGCTTTGAAATAAGGCAATGCTTGAAGCGACTGGGTTCGATTCCCCAATCGGTCTGCATCCTTCAAATGTCGGCTCTCTTTTAGGCTGCTGAATTTTGTTTAAAGAGCGATGACGACAGCCTATAAGGCATAAATATGTTCGGCATACGGACGCCAAGCATACAAAAGGCAATATCTAGAAATATAGCACATAAGCATTCTTTCGTTTATAATGGTTATGGTAAATTCTGATTTTTTAGAAGGCTTATTATTATTCAAAGAGTGCCACCAAAATAAATGTAATAGCCTATGTTGGCAAGTTGATTAATTTTGGTTTCCTCCCTAGATAAACTACTTATTTTACTATTGAGCTTTGTTTCAAATTAGTTATTTTACCGCACGTATCAATCATTTCAAAATTTCGCGACCGTGCCGAACAAATTCTAAACTACATAAGCTTAAAAAAAAACTTTTTGCGAATCACTTATGCGTAAGCTCCGTAGACGTAGGCGCGTTGAATCCGGTAACAACGAATAGTTAAACATGCATCAATACCACATAAAGAAAGATCGATTTTACAGTCACGTAGGGTTGAATTCATAGATTAACATTGAATGCTGTTTACTTGCTGTACTTGAACAAAAAGAAATAAGTTAACTCAAATGCTTTAACCGCGTATATCAGAGATTTCGCGTATTGAAAGAATAATATATTAATCGAGTAAAATAAACTCAGGGGAAAACAATACCTACACAAGATTAAAAGTTATTAATTGTCACATACCTCTAATTTCACTAATTTCCTAAACTATTCCACTCATTGTTAATCAGCTTAATGCTACTGGTCTGCATGCGTTTTCTTATTGATGTTCAAGACTAAATTGGAAGATTTGTTCTACAACTTTAAAGGCTAGTAGCCTCCCTAAGCGGACCCCCCGCACTCGAACTCTTTTGTTAATCTCTTTAATGTCATGAGACTGTCTGAATTTTCTTTTTTAAGTTCATTTGATGATTATGATATCTCATTAGTATAGTTTAATAAATTATTGAAATCTCTAATTCACCTAATCAATCATAACCCATGCTTTATTAAGTACCCGCACTTGTGCTTGTAATCTAAAATTAAACGTGTTTCAAGTACTTTTGATTTTGACCTATACCTCTTTATTATATTTTAGTTCGACCCAGGTAACACCTTCATGCAGAGCGTAACATTATTAACTGTTTAGGCTGAGTGTGAAATCACTGCTCTATTCAATTCATTACTCTATCCAGACCGTATGTACCAAACGGTAAAGGATGAGGCAATGAAAGAACCAACAAAAACATTCAGTCTCTCACGAACAGGCGACGTACACCGCTTGCCTTCGCTCACACAGCATGTAATAAGGTGATCCAAGAGACGTTTCTCAGTGGAACTGACAGCTAGAAATCAAGAGTGTGTGAGTGATCTGGTATTAATGGTGCTGAATGTAAACATAAACAAAGCAGAAATTCATATGAGAGTGAACTGTCAGTTCTACTGTGATCTGTCAAAATTTCTTGGTAAACAAAAAAGTCAGCTGATTGCAACTGTCTCGTGGACAGCCTTATTGAGGCATTTTTCCATAGAAAATGTACGCTCAGTTATTCAAAACAAGGTTTGGGTACCATCACGGAAAAATAAACGTGCTGACTGAGCTACTGACTGAGTGCTCTGCTGTCAGTGACTCGTTTACTTCCCACCCATTCAGACTCTCACAAGGCAGTGAATGATGAGGCGGATGGCTGTTCCTATTCATATGAAAATGACTCATTGACCTGAATGTTTTGCGCACTGCCTTGATGTGACTAAAATGTTTCATTTTGAAGTTAGTTTCCTAGCTGATTTTTAAATTATATAGGGTATATGCTCCAACTATGCTCACACGCTTCCACTATGTCGCACCACAAAAATACGTATGGGTATGTCACAATAGAAGCCCGCCACAGTGGAAATCTCGAGCCATAGTTCAAACACTTATCCCAAATCAAAATGAAGCACATATAAGATTAGTTACAATACCATGTACAAAAATTTAAACATCATTGTTTCCTGAGTAATACTTCAATGAAAATTACAATGAAAGCTTGTCACGCAAATCGAAGGAGCACTTTCTGGAATATTTCAATAGTATAATTCCCTTTCAAATAAATCTATCTGAGTAAAAATAAATAAAATAAGAGCGATTTGCGGAAAAACGTGCGTCAGTGCATATACGTAAGCGTACTACAACGTGGCTCTCAAACAAAGGAGTAACCCGTGTGATACTATCACAACTGGACTACATCTTTGGTTCTCTCATGCAGTGTTTCATCAGAGAGGGAAGCTTAGTAATCCCCGTCGCCTGCCCATGGCGCCATACTATCGTGACATGAGCCAGCAACGCCGGCCGTCTCCTACAGGGGTTGTGAGAAATATAGGGTACTAGCAAAATTTTGTCCAACTTTGGACTGTTGTAACTTCGTTAAATATTGTTCGATTTTCAATATTCAAGAAACATTCTACTAGAAAATTAATCAAATTTTATGGTGAGGCAATGGAAGTGACCATGGTTACCGGATACCGGAGATATTCCGGGTTTCCTGAGGGCATGTCTAAATTGCTAAATTTGTGATGAGTTTTTCTCAGGGTGTCCGTTACTAATCTGTGTTTTTTGTTCATACACCAAAAATAAAACTACTTCCAAATCAAATGACGTACCAAGAGCTAAAATCGACTCAGAATCAACCAAGATATGGCCATTTCCCTGGAATCGGTCCTGAGGGAGGGTTCTGAGTGCGGTCAGTTCTTTCATTCACTCAAAACATGCCGTGTGACACCTCTTTCTTCAATGTTTTTTTATCAATAGGATTTCTATAGACTTTGAATGGATCATTGACTACATTGGCCACTTCCGGAACCACCGGAGTGCCCTCGGAGGAACCTGTAGTAGGGGACAAATTAATTTTTACAAAAATCATGCCGTGTTACACCTCTTTCTTCATGGTTTTTCATCAGTAGGATTTCTTAAAACTTAAAATGGATTATTGACCACATTGGCCACTTCCTGAACCACCGAAGTACCCCCGGGGAACCTGAAGTAGGGTACAATTTCATTTTTACACCAAAACATGCCATGCGACACCTCTTTTTTCATGGTTTTTCATCAGTAGACCTTCTATAGACTTTAAATGGGTCATTGACCACATTGGACACTTCCGGAACCACCGAACTACCCCCGGGGGAACCTGTAGTAGAGGGCAATTGCATTATTACACCAAAACATGCCGTAAAACACCTCTTTCTTCGTGATTTTTTATCCGTAGGCTTTCTATGGACTTTAAATGGATCATTGACTACATTGACCACTTCCGGAACCACTGGAGTACCCTCGGGGGAACCTGTAGTAGGGGAAAATTGCATTTTTACACCTAAACATGCCGTGCGCCCGCTCTTTCTTCATGGTTTTGCATCAGTAGGCTTTCCATAGACTTTTAATTGATCATTGACCACATGGGCTACTTACGGAAACACCGGAGTACCCCCGAGGGAACCTGTAGTAGGGGACAATTCCATTATTACACCTAAACATGCCGTACGACACCTCTTTCTCCATGGTTTTGCATCAGTAGGCTTTCTATAGGCTTTAAATGGATCATTGATCGCATTGACCACTATCGGAACAACCGGAATGCCCCCAGGAAACCATAAGTAGGGGACAATTTCATTTTTACATCAAAACATGCCGTGTGACAGCTCGTTCTCCATGGTTTTGCATCAGAAGGCTTTCTATAAAGTTGAATTGGATCATTAATTACATTGGCCGCCTCGGAACCACCGAAATACCCTTGTGATCCATTCAATGCTATAGAAAGCTTACTGATGCAAAACCATGAAGAAAGAGGTGTCGCATGGCATGTTTTGGTGTAAAAATGAAATTGTACCCTACTGCAGGTTCCCCGGGGGTACTTCGGTGATTACGGAAGTGGCCAATGTGGTCAATAATCCATTTAAAGTATTTAGGAATCCTACTGATGAAAAACCATGAAGAAAGAGGTGTCACACGGCATGATTACTGAAAAAAATGAATTTGTTCCCTACTACAGGTTCCCCCGAGGGCACTCCGGTGGTTCCGAAAGTGGCCAATGTAGTCAATGATCCATTAAAGTGTATAGAAAGCCTATTGGTAAAAAAACATGAAGAAAGAGGTGTCGCACGGCATGTTTTGGTGTAAAAATGAATTTGTCCCCTACTACAGGTTCCCTCGGGGGCACTTCGCTGGCTCCGGAAGTGGCCAATGTGGTCAATACTCCATTTAAAGTCTATAAAAAGCCTATTGGTAAAAAACCATGAAGAAAGAGGTGTCACATGGCACACACCAAAAAAATCTGAATTTTACTGGCAATGTAAACATCCATGCATGCAAACATTCATACATGTAATCTTCCTTTTCACTTAAACTAGCAGCTTGCAAGAAATGTTGCAAATAAAAGTGGACAGTTGCATACAATATATGGAATATTGGAATATCTAAACTTGTATGATGTATGACGCTCCATTTATGAGCATCACAGTAACGGAAATTTACACTACTTCATTTTGCTGTGCATGTTTTGGTGTCAAAATGCAATTTTCCCCTACTTCAGGTGCCTACGGGGGTACTCCAGTGGTTCCGGAAGTGGTCAATGTGGTCAATGATCCATTCAAAGCCTATAGAAAGCCTACTGATAAAAAAAACCATGAAGAAAGAGGTGTCGCATGGCATTTTTTGGCATAAAAATGAAATTGTACCCTACTTCAGGTTCCTCGAGGGTACTCCAGTGGTTCCGGAAGTGGCCAATGTGGTCAATAATCCAATTAAAGTCTTTAGAAATCCTACTGATGAAAAACCATGAAGAAAGAGGTGTCACACGGCATGATTTTTGTAAAAATGAATTTGTCCCCTACTACAGGTTCCCCCGAGGGCACTCCGGTGGTTCCGGAAGTGGCCAATGTGGTCAATGCTCCATTTAAAGTCTATAGAAAGCCTATTGGTAAAAAACCATGAAGAAAGAGGTGTCACATGGCATGTTTTGAGTGAATGAAAGAACTGACCGCACTCAGAACCCTCCCTCAGGACCGATTCCAGGGAAATGGCCATATCTCGGTTGATTCTCAGTCGATTTTAGCTCTTGGTACGTCATTTGGTTTGGAAATGGTTCTATTTTTGGTGTATGAACAAAAAACACAGATTAGTAACGGACACTCTGAGAAAAACTCATCACAAATTTAGCAATTTAGACATGCCCTCAGGAAACCCGGAATATCTCCGGTATCCGGTAACAATGGTTACTTCCATTACCTCACCATAAAACTTGATTAGTTTTCCAGTAGAATGTTTCTTGAAGATTAAAAATCGAACAATATTCAACAAAGTTTCAACAGTCCAAATTTGGACAAAATTTTGCTAGTACCCTATATTTCTCACAACCCCTGTATATTGGTTATGAGTGTAGGGATCTATTCCCAAAGTAGTCCTTGTACCCGGATGGGTTCTTGTTCTCAAAATTAACAAAAAATAATAAGGACAATGATGGACGTACATGGGAATACAAAAATGCATATGCAATGACTAAATTCAAATTGATTTTTTTTTTTTTTACAATTATCTAAATAGATAAATAAACCCAAACAAATTCCCATGTACGGGGGTTAGTGGTGGGCCACCATCATCATCACCGTCTCCTACACTC